TGAAAATGATCACCCCTAATCTATAGATTCTATACATTATTAAGGACCCACGTTTTCCTCTTGCCACCCTGAATTTGTAGGACAAGGTTCATTTCCAAAACACTTGCGATTTATATAGAGTATGCCTTATCTAGGTAATTTCTAAATGAAAAATCAAAACCTCGGATAGTCACTCTAAGAAAATTCCAATACAGGTTCATAGAGGGCTTATGTGTTAGAGAGGATTGAAACCATTGAACACAAAACAAATCCATAGAGTTGTGTACCTGGTGGATAGTTCAAAAAAGCTAAAACCATTCCTCCATGTAGTTCAAAAAAGCATTCATGGTGAAGAGAAAATGGCTGGGATGCAAAACTAGCATCCAATTTAGCTCAAAATTCCCCTTGGAAGGCAATCCTTGAGGTACTACCAACCTTTCTTCAATTTATCAGGTTTGATGTTGGGTGTGGCAATAAAGTTTTATTCTGGGAAGACCTTTGGGTTGGGGATTTACCTTTTAAGGTCAAATTCCCAGACCTCTACTCATTATCAAACCTTAAAAACAAACTTGTTGCTAGGGTTGGCATGCTTTCAGACTTGGGTATATATTGGGACTTTGGCTTCAGAAGGGGGCTAAGGGAAAATGATGTGAGTCCCTATTGCTTTTGTTATCAACCCTTGAGAAGGTCTACTTAGACCAAACTACAGTTGATAGTATTGTTTGGTCCCCAACTCCTGATGGTTTATTCTCTTGTGCCTCTTTCTTCGGTTTGCTCACTCACTTTGATCCTTTGGGGGTGAACTTCCCAGTGAGAGAAATCTGGTGTAAACAGATCCCTCTTAAAGTACAAGCCTTCTGTTGGGAAGTGTTCCTAGGGAAGGTAAACGCTTGTGATGTGCTATAGAAAAGGTCAAACAAATGCCTCTCCCCTCATGTGTGTGTCCTTTGTAAGGATTGTGGTGAAACCCTACCCCATTTACTTTTATCCTACTCTTTTGTTTCTTGTATTTGGGAAATTGTTTGTTCTCTATTTGGATGCAGATGGGCTCCCCCACTGGATGTCGTAAGTCTATTCAGCCCCTCCTTCATGAGGCAACAGAAGAAAAGAGGAAAGTGCTTATGGAAAGCAGCAAGAGCTGCTATGGTATGGGCTATATGAGAGGAAAGAAACTGTTAGCGTAGGGGTATTTCTGTCTTTATACCTTGATTGATGTTGCTGATCTGTAATGTTGTGTTGAAACATGTGCTCTTAACTTAAGTAAGGGCACATAGGTCTTTTCAGTTATGTTTTAATAATAATATAAATACTTACTGGCCGACTGGGAGAAGTCATGTTAACTCTTTCAGTTCGAACCAGAATTCTCTCCTCTCTTTCTCTCTCTCTTTCTTTATCACTTTTTCTTCTTCTACATAACTGAACTCAGTCAGGCCAAACTCTAAGGCAGACCTAAATTATAACAGAAACCAAAGACTCTTCTCGGAAAAAAGCAAAGCAAAGCAAAGGAGGAAGTCATTGAAACCATAAAAATCAGAACTGCACATTGGGTGATGACCATGGAACTATTCAAAAACTTCTCCATGAATGACATTCTAAGAAACTGGACTGAAGTAGCACAAACAGATGTGCCCAAAGAAGATCTGAGAGTGGAATGGAAACCACCTGCAATGAACAAATTAAAACTAAACTTTGATGGGAGTTCCTTTGGTAACCCGGGAAGGGCAGGGGTGTGATTAGAAATCATCTAGGTGAAGTTGTGGCACTCTTCTCAGGACCAATAGGTATTGGTGACTCAATACAGGCTGAATCTTTGGCTCTACTTCAAGGCTTAAAGATGGCTGAGCAGATTGGAACAACAGACTTAGAAATAGGAGACTCACTACTGGTCATTTATTGAGCTAAAAACATCACATCAGCACCTTGGAAGCTCAAATTTATCTACAGAGAAATTGACACAATCGCAAGGAGGTCCAACTCTCAGTCTGGTTGGGTCAGAAGGACTGCAAATGGGTTGGCGGATACCCTAGCAAAACAGGGGGCAAATAGACCTACCTTGTACTGGGCTGAACTATAACTGTTTTGTATGTGTCCGTAGATTGGGTTATAGATTGGGTTAATGCACTATTGCAACCTATATCTATTGTAATTCAATAATTCTCTGTTATTAATAAAAGTCTTTTTGCTGATCAAAAAAAAAGGCTAAGAACCACATCAACCAAACAGCCTATAAATAAGGTAGGTACAAAGACATTTAAACTTATTTTGGTTACCAATTCATTTTGTAAGAAGAGAGAATCATATAAGAATAACTTGTATTGCAAAATCGTGTGTCTCAGTAAGTTTCATCAACCATGTGCTTATGCTTAAGTAAATTTAATTCAAGCATCCATTTCTATGATATAAAAAGGCTTCATTTCTATTACTCCTAATCTAAAAGAGTTGAGGGATAAACCCGTTCTCTTGGTTGACTTGCAGGAACCAGGTGATGAAAAGAAAGATCACTTGGTAAAATGGGCATAGGTGTTTAAGTCTAAGGAATGGGGAGGACAAGGCATTGGGACTCTGACTAAGAGGTATATAGCTCTACTAGGAAAGTGGCTTTAGAGATTTCCAACAGAAAGTGATAGGTCATGGCAGAATGTCATTAAAAGCATTCATGATCTTTTGGAAAATGGCTGGGATGTAAAATTGGTGCCTCACACTTTGCCAACCATAGGAAAGCAATAATTGAGTTACTACCAACTTTTATTAATTTTATTCATTTTGATATAAGGTGTAAGAATAGAGTCTTGTTTAGGAAAGATCTTTCGGTTGGTGACTTAGGGCCTGTTCGTTTGCTCTGAAGTCTAACATCTGAAAGTGCAATAATTACATTAAGAGGTATATTGGTATTGGTGAACTTTTCTTTCCTCTGAACTCTGAATGCAGAGAATGTTGTTCTGAATTCTGAAAATTATCAAATATCCATTTTGACCCCATATATGAGAGTTTTTGTTTGTCTTTTTGGGGTATCATTGGAAAACAAAATGTTGTACGATTGCACTTTAAGAGATAAGAGGAAAAGAACAACCATTTTTCTCTTAAAGCTAAAAGATTCCTCTTAAGAGATAGGAGTTGAGAGGAAACGAACAGGCCATTACCCCTTAAAATGCAATTTCCTATTTTCTTGTACCTTACTCTTTTTCCAACTACAAGCTTGAACCTATTTCTACATTTGGTATGACATCTGCACTTCGGTTAAACAGGGATTATGGTTTCAAGAGGGGTTTACAGGATAATGAGTGACTCCTTTGTTCTCCTACTATCAAAGTTGGAAAATATCTTTTCGGATCAAAACTTTTTATGGTAGAACCTAATCTCCCTCCCCTAATAGCCTCTTCTTTGGTGCCTCCTTTTTCAACTTTCTTGTCCATTCAGACTCTTTAGGGGTTAACTTCTCGGTGAAGGAAATTTGATGCAAACCTATACCTCCTAAAGTACAACCTTTGTAATGGGAAGTGTTCCTTGGAAAGATTAACACTTGTGACGTGCTGCGGAAAAGAAGGCTAGTGGTGAGACCCTTCCTCATTTATTAATATCCTATTCTTTTGTATCTTGCATTTGAGAATTCTTCTGCTCTCTCTTTGGTTGTAGATGGGTTCCCCAACAATATGGTAAGCTTGTTCAACCCCAACTTCCTGAAGCAAAAGAAAAACGAGGGTGGATTATGTGGAGGGTAGTAAGAGCAGCATTGGTGTGAACTATTTGGGAAGAAAGAAACCAAAGAATCTTTAGGCTGTGTTTGGTTGCAATGCAAATAAATTTGCACTGATACAAAATTATGGCAGTGCAAACGATTTGAGTGTAAACTCTGACTTTTTTTTTTCAAAATTTAGATTATTTTGTTTGATTGCAGTATAAATGAAGTAAATTAAGACATGAAACAGAATCAAATAAAACCCAAAACAAAATTAAACAAGAATTTGCATTTTTTTCATTTGCACTCCCATGCATTTGTTCTAGTGCAAATCAAATTCCACTGCAACCAAAGACAGCATTAATGATAATAGTAGATCTAAGAAGGAATTGATTGAAGACAATAACAGTTAGAACCGTGCATTGGATAACAACCTTGGAGCTCTTTTGAGAATTCTCAACCAATGACATAGTAAGAACATGGGCTGAAGTGACACAAATAGGAATACATAAGGACAGTGTAAGAATGGAATTGAAACCTCCAGCTGTAGATAAGTTGAAGCTAAACTTTGATAACAGCTCTATGGCCAATCTGAGAAGGGCAGGCATAGGAGGAATATTTAGAAACCACCACGGATTGCAAGTGGCTTTGTATTCAGGATCAAATGACTTCGGAGACCCGGTTAATGATGAAATGATTACTCTATTACAATGAAGGAGACTAGTAGTACAGCTTGGTGTTAGGGATCTGGAAATTGAAGGAGATTCACAACTAGTCATTTCTGGACCAAGAACGTCAACTCAGCACCTTGGAACTATAGACATGCTTTCAGGGAAATTGATCTCCTAGAAAAGAAGATTAATCCTAAGTTCAGCTGGGTAAGAACTGCAAATGGGATTGAGGATGTATTAGCAAAACAAAGAGTTGACAGACCTCTTTTAATTTGGGCAAAATTGCAATCCGATGTAACCAGGGCTGGTGGGAATGCTCTTTTTTTTCTTTTTTTTCTTTTTTGATAATCTGGTGGGAATGCTCTAACAGCTTTACTAAGTTTCTGATTTAATTAATTAATGAAATTCCTTTGTTGATCAAAAGAAAAAACTGTTATCTTTGTTGAGCTTAACTAACCAGTTAACCCACACTATCTAATCACCTGCCCATTTACCATCCCCACCTTTGCTCTTAACTTATTCCATGTCCTATTTCATCTCAATTTAGTTGCAAAGAATTTTGCCTAAATTAAGATATGAATTCAGCTAACCCAAGACAAATGATCCAGCCATATTCTTAACAAGCCCATATGATAACATGCATGTGTAAAGACACATGTAGATAATGCAATTACCTGATCCAACTCCTCAGCCCCTTCAGTAGAACAATCATCATTTTCATCATCTGCATAAACAAATAATATTTTTGCACCAAGTGGTACAGAAAAGCAACAAATCAGAAACGAAGTTCTAATTATACTTACTACCATCATGGTAAGAAAACATAGATAATGCATAGATAATGTCACTAGATGCTGCAATAAATGGAAATTATCCAACTTGTATAATTGACCTTTCTCAAACAAAATTCAAAGAAACACTAGAAGAAAAAGAGCTAGCCATAAGGGTATTGAATGGAGTGGTTTGAATCCAAGATCCACATCCACCCGCTCAAAATATTTAGGTGGTCTTTTTAATTGTTAGCAGATAAATTTCATTGAAGATGATTGAAAATAATGAATATGTACATATTAGTGTCAAACACCCCAAACATAGACTAGAAGTTGTTATCTAACCATTTTCTATTTTTTTACTATAATGTAATATCCTATAATTATCCCTAAAGGCCTAAAATGTTTGCTCTCTATTCAAGATTCAACACTTGCATAGCCAAAGAATCAGCTAAAACATTGGCTTATCTTCTAAGTTCTAAGCTGTTGAAAGAGAGTGCTGTATTATTTGTTACTTGTTTACTATTGTCAGCCAGGGGTTCTGTCGTTTACTCATCCACAAAATTCTCTTCCTTCTTTCACGATTATCTCTTCTTCTATATTCTTTTCCACAATCACACAATCAATTTTAGATTTCTAGACTAAATTGATTATTGATCCACAACTTGGTAACAGAACAGTCAACTCCAGGGTTAAAAACCATGCAGTTGTAGGATCGGTAAACTGCATGAAGATTTGATAGTGATAATCAACCTTTTGAATCACCTAGCTCTTAAATGGTTTTTGGAGAAAATTTTTATGCTGTTTGCTGCCCAAGAAGATGATCTTGGATATTAATCCAAGAAAGGTAGATGATTTGGGATCTCCACCAAGAGGAAAACCTAAATAATGGAGGGTTCAATCTGCTACCAAACTCCTAAAGTGCCTGCAAAAATGGAGGGGGACTGAGGCCAGAGATTGGCTGTCAGAGAAGAGGGTTGATTGTGGTTGGAATCAAGATGGAATGTCAAGGAGAAGACCACCACGACTGGGTGGTAAGAAAGCAAAAATGAGAAAGGGGATCTCCTTCAAAGAGGTGACTGAGACTAGAGCCTGGCCAACAGATGGTGAGTGCAGGTTTTTCCGCAATGATGGATTTTTCTTAATCAAGACGGCAGAGAAAGGTGTGAACCTTCAAAGGAAGTTTTTGGAGGGTTTCCTTGTCGATAGATTTGCGGCAGAAGTAACTGGCATTTTTTCAGTGGAGAATTGGACTGAAGAAGTTTGGGGCTTTGCAGGGGAGGTGAAGGTTAAAAAGCTTGTGAATGGTTTGTTTCTGTTCATAGCCTCCTTTGAGAAGGAAGCAGAGCATATTCTACATGGCTCGTCGTGGTGTTTGGGAGCAAACAAGCTTCTACTAGACAAACAGACTGCTTGTGCAGGATGTACCTCCAATGAGCCATCGTGGATGGACAACTATGAACCGAAGATTAGAGTGTGTATCTATGGTCTCCTGCTGGCTCTATGGACTCCGGAAATTATCTCTCTGATAGGGGATTTTTGTGGAGGTTTCTTAGCCACAAACGACTCCAGGGACAAGTTGGTGACATGTGAATGGGTGAGAACATAGGTGGTGTGGAGGGGAGAGATTCTAGCAACAATGGATGTAAAGGTGGGTGAAGTGGTGTATATTGTTCATATCTGGCCAGAACTGGAACCATTGGTGAGGCCAACAATGGATATGCACAAATCAGCTAAGAGGATTACAAGGGATGAGTTGATTGCAAGCTATAGGGAGGGTGTCGTAGAGATAGAAGAGAGTGAGTAGTTGATGGGGTCAATTTCGGTCAAACAAATGGCAGGTGACGCACAGCAGGCACAGTTGCTTGTCAGGTTGGAGAAGACAATAGGTGAACCATTGATTGAGTCAAACAGGGAAAATCAGATGATAGAACAAAGAACCTGGTTGCGGTCAGGCAGATTCAGGTTCAAATTTCAAATGAACCAACAAAGAAGTTCTGGCCTAGTAAGGAGGAATTAAAGGCATTAACAGGGGAATGAATGTCTGTTGGATTTGGGGATCCCAGGTGGTTCAAGAAGAGATGAACAAGCCAAGTGAAAAACCCAAAACTTTAAACACAAGAGGCGGCCCAAGGGTTCAAACAGTAACCGGGAAGAGGAGCATGATGTCAGGGGAAAGGGGAGGTCAAAAGTCAAATGCTTTGTTTGGCCCACAATCCTCCAGCTGTTAGGCCTCCTGGGAAGGCCTGGTTCACAAGTCGAACCAATACTTTGGCCAGGCCCTCGGTAGAACCAGGAAAGTTCAAAGAACTCTTGGGAGAAGTTTGGAAGGGACCCAGGGGTGATCAAGATTTCTGAAGGGAGAAATTTCCAGTTGAAGCAACAGGGGGTCCAAGAAGGGTTGATTACAAGAAAAGGGAAAGGATTGGTGGTGGAGGAACAGGACTCACCGACGGATGAAGAACCGGTGGAGGTTGGCATTTTGGGATCTCCAAAGTTCAGAAGAAGCCCTAGCAGACCCCAGGAAGTGTGTCTTACAATGTGAGTTGTGACGACTTACAGGGGGAAGACATCTCCACTACAATTTGTGGAACTGTTAATGCAAGGGAGGGTGGAGAAGGTAAAGGAGCATAAGAGCTCCCAGGAGCTTCCTATTGTTGAGTCTGAGGAGTCGATGATGTATGGCTCCCGAGACATAGCTTCGCTGAAGGAGGGGAGATTATGGAAGATGGGTCTAAGAAGGAGGAATGGACATCGTGGCAACGGCCTAAAACAATGTCCGAAGGTGAGTTAGTTTCAAACTAGATGCTTTCCAAGTACTTGAAATTTGGGGAATTCCTTGGTGTCTCAATGATAGGTTTTGAGAAGCAGATGAGAGAGATTGAACATAGGAAATTGCAGGGAAGGGACAAAGTGAATGCCAAAACTAAGAAGAGTAGTCATTTGAAGGTCGGGAGGTTTTAGTTGTCTCAGGGAATCTTGTCAGGTGGTAATGGCCTCTTTCTTCTATATGTTGCAATGAAGATTATCATGGAATGTGCGTGGCTTGTGCTCAGGTCTAAGAAGGGTAATCATTTTTTCAGTAATCAAAATGCAAAGGCCAGATGTCATCCTAATTTAGGAAACAAAACTGAATAGGGTGGAGGTTTCAGTGGTTAGAAGTGTTTGAGGGGATGGGAAGTGCGGGTGGAGATGTTTAAATCCTTCTGGGGCAGCAAGGGGGATACTGGTGGTTTGGAACTCCAACACTGTCACAATATGTGATTCTCTTGTTGAGGAATACTCTGTCTCCGTTGAAGTGTTAGGGACAGGAGATTTCAAGGGGATTATCACTGGGGTCTATGGTCCCTATGAAGAATCCAAAAGGCAAGTGTTTTGGGAGGAGCTGGGCAGGACCCAGAGTAAGGGTAATCTCTCCTGGTGTAGAGGTGGAGATTTCAATATTATTAGGCTTCCACAGGGGAAGAAAGGGGCTTTGAGGAGCTCTATGGGAATGAGAGCTTTTGGGGAGTTTGTTAACAGGCATGGTTTGTAGATATACCTTTGACTAGAGCTAAGTTTACTTGGACTAATAATCAGAGTGACCCTACCCTAGTTTAGCTTTAATTGGTTCTTAGTGTCAACTGAGTGGGAGGAAAGTTTCCCTAACCTATATCAGGAAGCTCTGTCTAGACAAATGTCTGATCACAGACCTATTTTGTTACGGGCGGGGGGGTATGAGGAGAAAGCCAAGCCCTTTTTGGTTTGAGCATCTATGGTTCCAGGAGGCTGGGTTTAAAGCTTTGTTGGAGTGGTGGTTGTCTTTTGAGGTAGAAGGCTCAGGATCTCACATTTTAGCCAAGAAACTACATTTACTGAAAGAAAAAAATCTTAGAATGGAAGAACAATTGTTTCAAGGTGGTGGAAGTAAAGAAAAGAGAGATATTAAACACCATTGAAGAGCTAGACATGAAAGAGGAGCATGTGAATCTCTCTGAAAAGAAGAAGGTAGCCAAGATTGAGGATAAGTCATGTTTTGATAAGGTAGCTTATCAGGAAGAAGTCAAATGGAGGCGACAAGTTAAAATTTCTTGGTTGAAGGTAGGAAACAAAAATACAAAATAGTTCCACGTAGTAGCAAATTTCCGAAGGGAAAATACATTGAAGAAGTTTCTGGTGGGGGAAAGGGTCATCGAAGATGAAGATTCCATTAAGAAGGAGGTGGTGAAGTTTTATAAAAAGTTATACAAGGAAGTTTGACAAGTGCATCCTGGTCTAGATGGGAGTTTATTGGATGCTATTTCCAGTAGGCAGAGAGATGAGTTAGAGAAACCCTTCTAGGAGGAGATTTGGGAGGTTATCTTGAGTCTGGAAGGGGAGAAGACCCCTGGACATGATGGTTTTACTATGCTGTTCTTCAAAAAATGTTGGGATTTTCTGAAGCCAGATGTAATGAAGCCCTGAGTGATTTCCATGACAGAGCTTCCTTGGAATGTAGTCTAAATACCCTCATATATAACATTGATTCCGAAGGTATAAAATCCTACTCATATCTCTGATTACAGACCCGTAAGTTTGGTGGGATATTTTTATAAAATGCTGGCAAAAACACTTGCTAACAGATTGAAGAAGGTACTTCCTGATATCATCACAGGTTCACAGGGGGCCTTCCTGCCAGGAAGGTTGTTGTTAGAATGTGTCATAGTTGCCAATGAACTGGTGGATTCGAAATTAAGGATTGGGAGGAAAGAGCTGGTCTGTGAGATTGATCTGGAAAAGGCTTATGACCACGTAAACTAGAGGTTTCTTGACTCAGTGTTGCAGAAGATGAATTTTGTGCAGAAGTGGAGGAATTGGATCAGAGTTTACTGCTAAATTCTCTATTCTTGTAAATGGGTCATGCTCTGGATATTTTAAAAGGTCGAGGGGTCTCCAGCAGGGAGACCCACTCTCTCTCTGTTATTTATATGCATGGTGGAGGCCCTTGCTAGAATGACTAGAAGATCTTTGGCTGAAGGATACATTGAAGGCTTTCGAGTGGCAGATGGAGGGACAGTGGTTCCCTTGCTGTATGTGGATGACACTATTTTTTGTTCAGGCTGAGGAGCAGTTGAACAATCTTCAGATGATTCTGCTCTAGTTTGAAATGATTTCAGCATTACAGGTTAATTTCCAAAAGAGTGAAATCTTTCCTGTTGGGGAAGTCAATGACATCCAGGAACTTGCTTCAGAACTTATGTATAAAGTCGGAAAGCTTCCATAAAGTTTTCTGGGCCTTCTAGTTGGGGCAAAATGCTCCTCCAAGTCCATTTGGGACCAAGTTGTGGAAAGACTGGAGAAGAGGCTGGGGGGCTCAAAGTCTAGGTATCTGTCCAAGGTAGCCAAGATTACTCTGTTAAAAATCTCATTAGCAAACCTGCCTATTCATTTTTTATCACTGTTTCCAATCCCAACCCATGTGGCAGAAAGGCTGGAGAAAATAGAAAGGGGTTTCCTTTGGTGTGGGAAGGAAGGTGAGCAGAGAATTCATCAGGTTAAGTGGGAAACTATTTGCAAACCAGTAACCTAAGGAAGCCTAGGTGTGAGAAGCTTCAGACAAGTTAACACTGCTCTATTAGGGAGGTGGCTTTGGCTTTTCAATTCTCAGCCCTAAAGCTTGTGGAGAAATTTGGTACAAGAAACAGTGTTGGGACCCAGGGCCTACTCCCTCTTCTGTTGGTTGTTTGGTCTGGAAAGGGATTGAGAAGGTTTTTCCTATTCTCATTCAAGTGGTGAGGCTGAAAGTAGGGGATGGTAGAAGGATAAGATTCTGGCAAGACCCTTGGTGTAACAACTCTGCCTTAATGGAGGTCTTCCCTTCATTGTTTCTCATAGCTGAGGATAGGGATGTGTGATGGTGGCAGATGATTTGGTGTCCTAAATTCAGAAGATAACTCAATGATTGGGAGATTTCAGACCTGCTAGCACTGTGCCAGCTACTTCAGATTCAACATCCACACCCAAATCAGCAAGATTCAATAGAGGTGCCCTTCCTGGTTTGGACTGCACTCATGGCAAATGCCTCTCAAAGTATCACCCTTTCATTCATAGTAAGGCTGCTCATAAACTTTTCAGTCATTTCTATTCCCTGCTGAGTGTCAGCTGGTGTTTGCTGAGTTCTCTTCCTGATTTGCTATTTTCCCAGAAGTTGCTGGGCTTAAAGTGGTAGGGGCAAAGTGCTTTAGAGTGCTATTTCTCATGTGGTGTGTTGGGTTCTATGGACAGAAAGAAATGGGAGGATTTTTGAAGGAAAGTTCTGCTCTTTAGATGATGTGGTGGTTTGGGCTATGGCTACTCTGCATTCTTGGCTGTCTGCCAAGGATTCCTTCAAACGCATCCCACATCATCATTATTTTGATTATGGCATACCCTGTTTATTTAATATCAGAGTCTGCTTGTCTCTTGTATTTAGTCTTGAGAACCTAGTTTTTTGGGTGGCTTCTCTGTATAGTTGCTGGCTGTACATGGAGCATACTGGACAGATATATGTTTTTTTGTTCTTTACAGTATAATTTCAACACAATATCTTAACTCTTTCTCAGAAAAATAAATGTTTCACTCAATGTTAATTCCTGCTGTAGAGAGATCTGCTCAAAATCTAGCTTTGTGGAAGAGAAATCATATCTCCATGGGTGGGTAACTTCAATCAAAGTTGCATTGGCTAACCTTCCTGTTTATTATTTGTCCACTCAAAATAGCAAGAAAGTTGGAGAAGATGATGAGGGACTTCCTATGGGAACCAGGAGATGAAAAGAACGATCTTTTGGTGAAATGGGAGCAGGTGTGTAGAACAAAGGACAAAAGGGGGCTGGTATAGGGAACTTAGTCCGGATTCCCGAAAAATATAGCTCTCCTAGGAAAATGACTTTTGATATTTCCCTTAGAACAAGAAAGGCTCTGGCACAAGGTGATTAAAGTATACATGGGCGGTCGAAAAATGGTTGGGATGCAAAAGTGGCCCCTATCTTCGACATCTCCCTGGGAAATGGGAACAAAGTCTTATCTTGGGAAGCCCTTTGGCTGGGAGAACAACCTTTAAAGACCCAATTCCCCTTACTATTTTCTGTATCAAACTATAAATCTGAACCCATTTCCAAATTTGTGATCTTCAACAACTCTGGGCTGAACTGGGACTTTGGCTTTAGAAGGGGTCTTACGGAGATGGAATGTGAGTCTCTAATACACTCCTATTGGCCAAGCTGGATTCAATTTTCCTGGACCAAAGAACAAAGGACACAAGGGTTTGGGCAATTTCTACCAATGGCATCTTCACATGTGCTTCCTTTTTCAATAACCTAATTCAGCCTACCACCTAGGGTTTAAACACCCAGTTAAAGAAGTTTGGAGCAAGCCGATCCCACCAGAAATTCAGGCCCTTTCAGGAGTGTTTCTTGGGAAGTTAAATACCTGTGTCTTTCTGCAGAAAAGAAGGTCAAACAAATGTCTTTTCCCTCGCATTTGTTGCCTTTGCAAAGCTAGTGGAGAAAGTATTTCCCACTTGTTTATTCACTATGCTCTTGTGCTTTATGTTTGGGAGCAGTTTTGTTCTCTTTTTGGTTGCAGAGGACTCCTCCCTAGGTCATGGTGAGTCTCTTTGATCCAAACTTCCTGAGACAGTTGAAGAAGAGAGGAAAGATTCTGTGGAAAGCAATGAGATCAGCCTTGATTGGACTATTTGGGAAGAAAGGAACAGGAAAATTTTCAATGAAAAGAGTAAGCCTGTGTCAGAGATCATAGAAACCATTAAGATAAAAGTTGCAAATTGGGTAAAAAAAACCCTTGGAAAGTTTCAATGACATATTGAGATCACGGAAGGAAGAGATCCATTGACAGAAGAATTACTGTCTCTGCTTCAAGAGCTGAAATTTGCAAAGAAGTTTGGTTTTCAGTTGCTAGATGTGAAAGGGGACTCTCTGGTGGTTATTTCCTGGACAAAATATCACAGCCAAAATCCTTGGGTTTACAGGCACAGAATTAGGGAAATTGAAAGCTTAACAAGGGAATTAAATGTACTTTTAAATGGGTGAGAAGAAATACAAATGGCATAGCAGATGCTTTAGCTAAACAAGGGGCAAATAGGCAGCAATTATTTTGGGCTAAATTGTTAGACTGGCTTTGGGGGATGCAGTTCTAGTTGTTTTTTATTATTTCTATGGATGTGGGTAACTTACCCACAGATTACAGATTTGTAACATCAAGTTTGATAAAATGCTTAATAAAATTTAACTTTTCTGATCAAAAATGTTGATTCCTGCTATATAATTCTTTCCCATATTAACCTTTAGATTTGGATTCGCTCAAAACAATTTATAGTTGTGGGTTCCTAACTCAAACACCTTCCTCATTTTCCCACAAAAGATTATGATATCATCCACAAACTATAGATGGATGACTTTAGTTTTCTCCCTGCCCACCCCACAACCCCGAATTGGCCCTAGTCTATAGGCTCTAGTTCTCATTCTACCAAGCATATCAGCCACCAAAGCTAACAAGAAGGAAATGAAGAGTTGCCTTGCCTTAGACCTCACTTAGTAAGGAAGAAGTATATACCTTTTCCATTCACCAAGACCAAGAAATGACAAGACTATAAACAACCTCTAATCTTTTTTTTTTTTTTTGTAGATCAATAAAGAAAAAAAATTATTCAGAAAATAGCAAAATACAAGGTTTGGTTGACAAGGAGTCACCCCACTAACAAATTATAGATAATCAAAAAGCAAAACAACAGAGATTGACATCAAAATTAAACATTCAAAGTGTTCTAGAATTTGTAAGGTAATTTTATTCAAACCAAGATCACATACAAGCTGAACTCAAAGTGTTCCAGAATTCAGTTGCACGATTCTCTTTTTTTTTTTTTTTTTTGATAGATAGTTGCAAAATTCTCTTTATTAAGGCCTTCAAATTCTGGCAAAACTAACACCCAGAAAACAATCCTTGAACTGATTACAGCCCCCAAATCTTTGTTGCTTCTCATTTTATCCTCAAATATTCTCTTATTTCTTTCCTTCCAAACCTCCCAGCACACAACTCCAGATTATTTTTGCTTTGGAGTTCCCATGCACCTTTGGCCAGGAGTTCCCATTTCTTTTAGTCCTTTCATGTGCATTTACATGTACACTGTGCCTTGAAAACTTATTAAAAGTTCTTCATAATTGGTAATGCAAAGCCTCTCGCCTCTATGGATATATAAAGTACCAAATAAACTCAAATTTTGTGCAATCCTGAAAGAATTTCTCCACCACAGAATTTTCTTACATTGATCTCAAAACCCCCTAGAAAGAAGTGGAAAATTATCTCCCTTCAAAATCCTCATGCTTTCCCACTTAATGAGAAAAAAAGATCTTGAAAAACAAACCATATAGCGTGTCTACAAACAATTTAAAGGGGATAGAGTTCAATGTCGTTTTCAGAGTTGAGTAAGTGTGCAAAGGAAACATGGACAAATAAAAGCATCTTGCGCCCTTAATTTCCGGTCCAAAACCAGGAACCGTTAAGACTCCGTTTGTTTCTTCGTAAAATAGGCATAAGTTTTTCCAGAGTGCAATGTTTTAGCTATTATCTTCACTCCTTTATAGAAAAAATGTCATTTTCCAACTCTCGTATATGTATTGATACAAATGGCATGCAGAAGAACATTTTCATCGTAAAAGAGATGAAAATATCACATAAATATTTCAGCCTGAAAAACCTCAAACCCATTTTACGGAGAAACAAACGCAATCTAAATAATTACAAAAACAAGACGAAACAATTCAAGAATCTTTTCCATACAGAAGTAAATACAAAGCAAGAACCCTAAAACTGCACCACAGACGCCGCAAATTGAAACTCTGGAAGGTAAACAAGCGACTCAAATAACGGAGAAATTAAAAAAAAAAAAGCAACAATATACCGGAACCCGAATCACTGCCAGAAGATGAAGACGACGAGCTGCTAGAACCAAAGACGGCTGAAATAAATTTCCCGGCGCCATTTACGATCATACGGGTGGCAGGAGAAATGAGTCCTGTTAGCCAATTAGGGTTTTCTGTAGGTGGAGAAGGAGAATTTGGCCGAGCATAAGGAGACGCTGCGCCTGCAACTCGCCTGCCACGTAGGATTTTCCCTCCCGATCTGGCCTCCACCGCCCGGCGAGGTCGAAAAATTGTAGCCATGCGAGAGAGCGAGAGAGCGAGAGAGAGAGAGGGACCGTAATATGTATGAGAGAGGGAGAGAGTACGGGAACAAACGGAAAAATGTTGGTGATCAATTGTCTGATAAATCACGGTTCTGTCCTTATTCGTGAGTAGGAAATGACACGTGTGAATAAAACATGGGGGACAAGTGGCCGATTTTAATTGGCAAATTCACTTATGGCAGGATCTCAACACAAAATTCAATATAGATCACGGACGACGCATGTAATTCACGGCCCACGCTAAGCCGAGTCCGGATTTCCTTGCAGTTGCAGGCTTGCACTCGCCTTAGTTTGCAGAATAAAAGACATGGTATGAATACCGAAAAAAAAATGATACCGGAAATGCTAAGGCTGCGCCCGCTGCGGTGTAAAAGTAAAAGTAGTAGAGTTAGAATTTAGAAAGTGTGATTATGGATGTAAATATTCGAAATTGTATTGCGTGTAAACAGATCGAATTCGAGTCAGGTAATATTTGAATTTGAATCCGATTAAAAAAAATTGATACCCAAATTCGATTTGATATCCGTTAAATATTGAAAATTAATATTTAAATTCAAATCTGATTAAATATTTGAATCTTTTATTTGATTCTAATTCAACTAATTAATTATTTTAGGTAATTAATAAATATATAAAATAAGTATTTTATTTATATAAAGTATATAAATATATAAATTATTTATACAATTTAATTATTATATATATATATAAATTATATAAAACATTTAAAATTTTTATATATTATATATAAGAATTAAATAATTGGTAGAGTTCAGATATTTATCAAATCGAATAAGATCATATCCGAATTCGAATCTGATTAGCTATTCGGTAAGAATAGGATATCCGAATTCGACAAGTTAGATATTTGAATTATCCAAATTTGATTTGATTGTCGAATCTCAAATACAAAATCAGATTTTTGAATACCACTGACACCCCTACCAGCAAACAACCTTTATGGCCTTGCAATGGGAATATCTCCCATGAAAAAGTACATAGGTATAAAGGTATTCCCAATGCAAGACTATAAAGGTTGTTCAAACAATGTTTGAACGGGCCTTGTACTGATTAAAGCCAATTTTGTAAAACTTGATGTGAGTAAGGTTTTATGTTGATTTTTGATGTTCATCTATACTCCATCCAGACACCAACAAATATGGACCAGAGTCAAATGCAGCCTTATAACCAAACAACTAGTACATTAGAGTGACCCCATCAAGTGGTTTTCGTCAAAATTCACGGGGCATTTTGATTGGTCAATACTCTTATGGTACCATGTCATTCTGGTATCATAATTTTTTCCCAAAAAAAATCACAATTTAACGAATTGTGAATTCCTCTTCACAAAATGGGTTTCTACATCCACCTCATAACACTACTAGTATGCATTGGGAACATCTATCAATGCATTAGGAGCATCCCCTCCCTTTCTCTCTAATGTACTTACTCGTGAGATTTTTGTTGCTTGATTAATGAATTTACCTTTGGGCTTTATAAAAAACATACAAGAATGGAGATGTTCCCAATACAAATTGCAAGTGTTGTGAGGTGGATGTTGAAGGAAGGTTAGGATCCACCATATGGATGGCCAAACCATGCTAGATGACTGGCGATATTTCAAAAAAATTCTTAACCTTATGGGAATTGAATTCTCTGATTTTTAAAAAATTGCATTTTTTCTAGGATCGATCTTGTACTAAAATCGGATCAGATTTGAAACCAAACAGTAGGAGATGTATACCTGATAAGGATTCCACAAATGTAGCTCCCAAGGTAGTAGTTCAAGTCCAAATCAGTCCCTAAAACCCGCTTCCATTAAAGATCGCGTACCTTGAAATGAAGTTGGTTCAGCAATGCAGTTTTCAACAAAACTGTAATCCAACTGGGGAGGTGAGCATGAATTTACTTTATGTTTTTCTTGCAAAAATCAGAGAAAGAAGTGATCAAGATCAGTCCTAAGAGCTGAGATCGAACTAAGGTTTCTTGGGCAACAAGAGGAGAAGAGAAAAAACTGAATTGTAAAGTATTCTGGAGCAGTTCGTCGTCTTCTTTTATCCTTTATGGAGCACCTTTTCTAATCGAATTAGGAGGTTTATCCAAATCTTTATTTGGATATGGACTCTATCAAGAAATAGGTCATATCCTCTTAAGAGAATGGGTGCTCCATACCCATATCCAAACCCATATTCACCCATGTCCAACTGTCATGTGACATCTAAATTAATCATATTGATTATGGGCTTTGCACCCATTAGTTGTATGGTTCACGACCCGAGAGTGTTGCTTGGCCAACAACTCCATTTGTTCGGCCATGAAGTGAATTGCTAGAGTTTTTTCTAATGTTCACAAAATGGCAACTCCATTGGGGACATCTGAGAGTTATGTGTATACTGCCATTTCCCTATTTGTTTTTCTATTTTGAATTTGGAGTTAATCTAATCTGTTTTCTTTTTCATTCTTGTTGTAGTCTTAATATTGTTAGTAGCCTTGTTTTCTGATTTATAGTTAATTCATACCGTTTGAGTTAAGATGTGGCATCTCTTATGATTTTGGTAAAAGAATCATTTTAGACTTGGTTGAAGATTATCTTGAATTTAAGATTCATATCACCCTATGAATGATGCTCCTGACTTGGTTTCATTTTAATTGTGTTGGACTCAGAGACTTCTAATCTTGTAGTTATCTCTTATGCATTGTAGTTTCTATATATGAAAATTTAATATAGACCCAATTGATTTTTTATTCTAAAATTAATTTTGGAGCTTGTCATTTGGACCTCTTCTAGCACAGAATTTGGCTAAATGTTATCCTAAATTATGGTGCCTCTCCAGGTCAAGAAGACTTATTAACTGATACCTATAAGTGGTTACCTTATCTTGGTATTGTGGTCATATGAAAGAGAGATGGTGTTGTGCCTATCTTGTTCCCTGTTTTAAATCCAAAGAGTTGCTCTTAGATTGTAGTTCAAACTCATGAAAGTTTTCTAGTCACATTTTGAGTTGACATACAAATTGATTAATATAGCATTTCATTCTTCACCTTTCTACCTGAATTTTCTTAAGTAAACTAAAGTGGTTTTGGTTTTGAAAGTGGTTAAATCTAAACCTAGAATAGGAATAGATGTTGCTATTGCTTGGCCATCAAGATGTAAGTTTCTTAATTAACTACTTGAAATCTAGTTTTCTCTATTGTTGGCCTGCATGATACAATAATAAGGAATTTCTTGAATGCTTGTTCCTTGCTTAGAAATGATGTAGTTATCTTTTTAGGTAAGAACCAACTTAAATAATGTATGGATTTTTTTTATTGGTTATGACTTGTTTTAGATTAAGATAGCACTTGTGTTGGAACATGTGAGTGGTTGCCCAAACCTCTGAGTCATAGATTTATATCTGCATATCAGAATTTGAGTCTTTTTTTTTGTTTGAGAAAAAAAGATGGTTTAAAGATCCTTTTGTTCAACAAAAGGGAAATAGAACCTACAAAAGATAAGCACTTCATGGAAATAGCAGTAGTTCCTGGGTAGCCTTCACTCTCGAATCCAGGCCTTTGTCTTACTGGAAGCCTCTTATTCACATTGCAACCTCAAACTTAGATCGGATTTTGGAACAAGTGTGGTTACAATGCAATGTCTCCAATGGCTAACCGTTTAAAGTAATTCAGATTCTCTCCCCTTGGGTTTAGACATTATTTGGGCGTAACAGTAAAGATGGCTTTAGGGAGCAAGTGGGCAATCAGGTGGTCAACTTTTTTTTCAGAGAGAGAGAGAGAGAGAAGAAAACTTCAAAAGCCTGGGTAGTGGTTTTTCCAATTGCTGGTTATCCTGCTCTAGCTTTGTTTACTTCATTTTCTCTTTTTTCATTTAGGAGTTAATATCCAAGTTAAGTGAAAATTTTGTAAATTTCCAAAGAGTAATCTTGTTCCTTGAGTGCATCTATAGTTGGTGGAACAAAAGACTTTAGTTTTTCATAGCATAACCTACTAGCTCAGTTGTCATGAAAAATGTGATTGATCTTTGACAATTCATGCCAGGCGCAAGTTTATATTCTTTTCTTCCTTTCTAAAAAAATGAAATGAAAATCTATTTGTTGTTCATTGATTTCCGACTCTGCTCCAATCTTAGACATGTTTGGCTCCTGTAAGGTGATTTTTGCTTTGGAAGCCTTTGGTTATGTTTCCGGATTTAATCAAGGATTCAATGATTCACAGACTGAAGTTTCCATGGTTCCTAGTCCAAAATTTGAACTTTGAAAGAGCATGTTGGACCCCCTTACCTCAGCCATTAAGCTTAACCATTTGAGCTTTATGATGCTTGAGAAACGATCCTTGTTGCAGCCTATGACTATTGTTGCTTGTTGTACCAATCTCATGACATATTGGTAGGAAGCTGTAGTTTTGTAATTGATGGACAACACACTCATGTGAAGATTGTTGGGGCATGCTAGCAATGAACTTTTTCTTAGGCTGAAATGGGTACTGAGAGGTGTCATTAATTTTTACTATGAGCACATAGCAACTTGGGTTGAGAGAGGACTTGAATTCTTTTGTACATATGGAAGTATGGGTCCCCATTGTTGAGTTTCTTTAGCTTCATAAGCCAGAGTCCCCATTGATCTTGCATTTGTGAGTCATTTGTATCACCCTTGTCTCCTCTGGAAGTGAGCTATAGGCAAACTGAAGTGGCCTTAATTTGATTTTTTTTATGGTTGTTGGAAATTGTTCTGGTAGACTGGTAGCATGTTTTCTAGCCTAATCTCAGACTGAACATAACCATTGTTGAGGTGTTAGTTAGCCTGTTCCATTTTAGGTAGCTAGAATTAGTTGGTCTTCTCAGAACAGACCTAGAATCATACGATCCTACTTGGAAAGTCTTGGTCTTTTGGTTTATCAAATTAGAAGTGAAAGGTTTGTTTTATTCAAGTTTAAGTTATGTGTCCCATCACTTGTAAGGGACAATACTGTCTTTCTTGTAACTCAATTTATTCAATATAAATACAAAGTGGGTCAACTAAAGAGGTGACTTTTCCTTTACTTGCCGAACCCTT